CTAGAAGCTGCCCATGAGTCCACAGGACCACTAGAAGCTGCCCATGAATCTACAAGACCACTAGAAGCTGCCCATGGGTCCACAGAACCACTAGAAGCTGCCCATTTTCTTTATTTATAGAACCTTTACGTAACCAGGCAAATCCTATTGAGATCACAGATCTCTTTTACAAGGGATGCCTGGGCCTGAAGGCAGACTAACATGCAGGTTTTTGAGTTCACAGGACCACTAGAAACTGCCTATGAGTCCAAACGACCACTAGAAGATGCCCATGAGTTAACAGGACCACTAGAAGCTGCCCATGAATTTACAGGACCACTAGAAGCTGCCCATGAGTCCAGAGGACAACTAGAAGCTGCCCATGAATCCAGAGGACCAATAGAAGCTGCCCATGAGTCCAGAGGACCAATAGAAGCTGCCCATGAATCCACAGGACCACTAGAAGCTGCCCATGAGTCCAGATGATCACAAGAAGCTGCCCATGAATCCACAGGACCACTAGAAGCTGCCCATGAATCCACAGGACGAATATAAGCTGCCCATAAGTCCAGAGGACCAATAGATGCTGTCCATGAATCCACAGGACAACTAGAAGCTGCCCATGAATTCAGAGGACCAATAGAAGCTGCCCATGAATCCACAGGACCACTAGAAGCTGCCCATGAATCCACAGGACCACTACAAGCTGCCCATGAATCCACAGGACAACTAGAAGCTGCCCATGAGTCCACAGGACCACTAGAAGCTGCCCATGAGTCCACAGGACCACTAGAAGCTGCCCATGAGTCCACAGGACCACTAGAAGCTGCCCAGGAGTCCACAGGGCCACTAGAAGCTGCACATGAATCCACAGGACCACTAGAAGCTGCCCATTTTTCATTTATATAACCTTTATGTAACCAGGCAAATCCCATTGAGATCACAGATCTCTTTTGCAAGGGATGCCTGGGACTGAAGGCAGACTAACATGCAGGTTTTTGAGTTCACAGGACAACTAGAAGCTGCCTATGAGTCCAAAGGACTACTAGAAGCTGCCCATGAGTTCACAGGACCACTAGAAGCTGCCCATGAATCCAGAGGATCACTAGAAGCTGCCAATGAATCCATAGGACCACTAGAAGCTGTCCATGAATCCACAGGACCACTAGAAGCTGCCCAT